AACGGTTGTAGACTGGCGCAAATATTGGCTGGTTAATAATTAATACCTCAAAAACAAAACTGCTCTCTATTACTCACCAGAGAGAACCATCCCTGCCCCCTCCCCATTAGAATGTCTGACGCTCAACTCCACGAGAGCACCTCTTTGCGACTACTCGGTCTCACATTGACTGCTGACCTGAGATGGAACAAATACATTGAGTCAATAGCTTCGTCCACCGCAAGGAAAGTTGGCTCCCTATGCCGCGCCAGGAAATTTTTCTTGCCGGAGTCGAACCTCCAAATCTACAAATCAACTATTCGCTCTTGCATGGAGTGTTGCTGATATATATGATCTAGAGCCCCTTCTGTTTGTCTCAAGATCCTTGATACAATCCAGAGACAGATATGCAATGTAATTGGCCCTGATCTGGCATCTCGTCTGCAGTCGCTCTCTCACAGACGTACCGTCACCTCCGTCTTTTTTTTACAAATACTTTCACGGTAACTGCTCCGATGAGCTGCTTTCGCTGGTACCCAGACTTCATGAATTTAGGCATTCAACAAGGCTGGCATCTCTCACTCGCCCTTTCACTGTCGAAACTATTAAATATAGCCGTCTCTTCTACTCCAATAGTTTCATGTCTCGCACCTCTCATCTGTGGAACTCCCTCGCCTTTCCCTGTTTCCCGGATAGCTATAATCTCCAAATATTCAAATGTAATGTCAATCGACGTTTCCAGACGTCCTGATCTGTCCTCTGATCATCTCTTCATCCTTTCCTCTATCACTCCTCTTTGTTCTCGCTCCAACTCTCTGTAAACCCTTTGCGTGCTAGTGGCTTCCCGCCTTGCTTGGGGTTGAAATGCTAAAAAAAAAAAAAAAAAAAAAATATATATTTGATCCTTTATCGAAAATAATTCGTTTTCAATCAATTTGGGGAAAAAAATATTTTAACGTTTATTTTTCAGAATTTTTAGCCCCACAAAAAAAAATATTAATTTGAAAACGAATATCTTCTTTTTTTTGTTTTGTTTTTATTAAAATAAACAAAAGTTTGAAATAGTCGTCGTCCTCAAATCAGAAGGAGCGAAAGTAGTCGGGACATTGAGGTGAGGTATTGCGTTTCAGAGCTTCAAGACTGAGCAAGCAAGTCTGAGTAGTAATTGGAATTTAAATATTTAAATTCTTCGAGAGGGAATATGGAAGCAGTTCTCGTGGAAATTGTCATCAATATTTATTGGGCATTGAGATTGGGATCAAAAAAGCGCCAGCCACACTAGTGAAGGTGACGTCACGTGTCCCCAAGATGGCGCCGGCGACAACTCGTGAGAGAATGCAAAGTGACTCTCGTCAAAGTGGATAAAAGCATCGCTATGATTACCCTCTTGGGCTTTGTCAAATGTAAGAACTTGAATTTAAAGGAATGGACAATATCTCAAAGGTTTCAACCTGTATAAAATCTGGACAAACAAGAAAGGTTAAAATATATAATATGTTTTTACTAGCAGGGCTACCTGGCGTTACCTCATGTATTTTATGAAAATAACACCAGTTATATAACAAATCATGATGAACATTATTCATAATAATATTTTTTTTATTTAAAGCGACGTCATTTATTTTATCAAAAAATATCCGTTACAATTTAATTTAGTTTAAATTTTGTCACTATTTAAATAAATAAATAAATAAATAAATAAATAAAGAAAAGCATCGTTAACACTGCTCTCAAACTTTGGTGTGTATGTATATATGTATATCCTGCAGAAACTCCAAAAATAAAATTTAGAAATTAATGAAACTTTACAGAATACAGAAACCTTTTTGCACTAATATTACAAGGTCCCCAAACAAACATTTTCTGGTTTCTGATCGTCGGATCTGATAAGATAATTTAATTTATTACCTCTCTTAGCCTTTTTGTGTTTCATTGCGACCTGAAGAAGTCGAGTCCAACAGACATCGGCGAAACGCGTCGGTTATAAACCTTTTCAATTTCTCTCATCGTCTCCACTTTTTTTTCCTATGCTCTTAAACATCTTACAAGCACACGCATATATACCGGGAGCGATGAGTAAATTGTCGACCTTTTATATGTTTAATTTCACGCATGCACATTGTTTGTTTTAGATTTTGTTGGCTGCACAATATAGTAGGGCCAGTTGGGCACGACCTGTGAGAAAAACAGCACCATGATGCAATTTAATCCGCCAGAAATTTGGAAAACTTTTTGGTATTCAACTAGAGGCCCAAATATGAATATTTCAGTGTGTTTGGGTGTCAATCTTAAGACAGCGCTGTGGACTCGGAAAGAGTTGGATGATATATTCAGTCAGCATTATGGTGTTTGAAGTGATCACTAGTGATGGCGACGTTATGCATCCATAACGAAGAAGAAGAAGAAGACTATAAAGATGAAGGTAAAGAAGACGAAGAACAAGACGGTGAAGTTATAGGAGGATTTTTTTAGTTTACGAAGAAGTCAACATAGGAAAAGAAGACGATGAAGAAAGAAGAAGAAGAAGAAGAAGAAGAAGAAGAAGATGATGATGAAAAAGACGAAGACGATAAAGAATAAAAAGAAGAAAAACATGAAGATTAAGAAAAAGAAGATGAAAAAGAAAGAAAATGAAGAAGACGTACAAGAAGAAGAGGAATAAGAAGACGAAAAAAAAAGATAAAGATTTACATTTTTTTTTCTTTAGTTGCCCCCTGGGTCAAGAGGGTGGCTGATTGAATAATTTTTGTCTTAAAACAGAAGTTCTCATCACGAAACCACACAAGCAGTCATGGCTTAAGACAATTTCTGCAACCACATCAAATTCTTTCATATTTTCAACTTAATTCCCCAGCCTTAAACCCTTTGAGGATTATGTGGGGTAGAGTTGAGTCGAAAGGTAATGAAGAAAATCCATGTAACATTTTTAAAAAGATGATCTGAAGGCAAGGTTTTAAAACAATTCACTTTTCTTATACAAAGAGACCTTCCAGAAAAAGTTGTAAGAGAACAATAAAAGTCTTTTGGAGGCCGTGATATTAATATATGGCGATTTTATTGAATTAACTTACTCTTTATTATATCATGATATTTTTGTGTCATTTTGGTAAATATATTTGTTAAAATGAAATGTCATCGCACCCGATATAAAAAAAAATAAATTAATTTATTGCTTAAACATTATTTTTAATATCTAGCTATATTTGAGTAGATGTTCTGTTTTTATCAAACGAAAAAAAAAAGTAGTTTTTTTTTGTTTAGGGCTAATTCTAGGGAACATGAAAAAAGAAATTTCTACTTAGAATCAGAATCAGTCAGTTGAACTTTCTCGGACACATGAGGAAAGAGGGTTTAGAAAATTTAATATTCACAGGGTATATAGAAGGTAAGAGGAACTGCGAGTAACCTATTTAAGAGACTTGTGTAAATGGATGGGAGAATAGGTAATGAGAGGAATGGAAAAAAAGGCAAACATTATTCACAGATTCGAAGTTGTGGAAGCCATATTCGTCCCCGTTCTAAAAGGACACGACAAATAATAATAATAATAATAATAATAATAATAATAACGAAAAGCAAGACGAATAAGATGAAGAAGAAGACGAAGAAGAAGAAGACGAAGATGATGATGAAGAAGACGAGGAAAATGATGATGATGAAGAAAAAAACGAACAAGGCGACGAAGAAGAAAAAGATAACGAAGTGAAAAAAGACGACGAAGAAGAAGAAGACTATAAAGATGAAGGTAAAGAAGACGAAGAACAAGACGGTGAAGAGTAGGAAGAGGAAGTAGAAGACGAAGAAGTCAACATAGGAAAAGAAGACGATGAAGAAGAAGAAGAAGAAGAAGAAGAAGAAGAAGATGATGATGAAAAAGACGAAGACGATAAAGAATAAAAAGAAGAAAAACATGAAGATTAAGAAAAAGAAGATGAAAAAGAAAGAAAATGAAGAAGACGTACAAGAAGAAGAGGAATAAGAAGACGAAAAAAAAAGATAAAGATTTACCCGAAAATCATTTGTCAGCTGTGCAAATTGAGATCTCACAGTAATATTTTATTAATCATTTGAAATTGATCACAATACAATTGAATACTTCTAGCGACAGGATAGATATGCAAAAGCCACATACAAGCAGACACTAGCAGACTTTTAGTATATATATATATATATATAATGAAATGGACAAAGTCCGGCAATTATTTAAGACATTTTTTTATGTTTATACGATCATTTTATTGATACAAATATTTAAGTAAATACTCTGTTTATAATAAACAGAATTCATAAAATTTACCGGCCTGAATGTCCGAGAAATTTTCATAGAAAATATGCGTCCTCCGACAGGAATCGAACATGTATCCTATACGGAACCGTCACATAGCCTGACGTGCCTTAACCAATTGGTTCACAGAGGAGCGTCCGGTTAGCAAGGTCAATTTTACTGTTTTTAAACACAATTTTGCATGATTTCCTCTCATTCATTCATATCTTCTCAATGCGTATCCAAATGTAAACAAATGGCGTCATACATTATGAAATGTACAAAGTCCGATAATTATAGGATCCAGGTTCGATTCCTGTCGGAGGACGCATATTTTCTATGAAAATTTCTCGGACATTCAGGCCGGTAAATGTCATTAATACTGTTTATTATAAACAGAGCATTTACTTAAATATTTGTATCTATAAAAAGAACGTATAAACATAAAAAATGTTTTAAATATACACACACACACACACATATATATATATATATATATATATATATATATATATATATATATATATATATATTAATATTTTAGTGTTGTTTTTTTTAATATTTGAGAAGTCTTTTATTGATGAATATAAACTATTTTAATATTTTTTTGTAATTTTCTCTTCTTTTTGAAGAGAAAGTAGGTTTAGTTCCAGTGTGTGGAGAACCAAACATCCGTTATTTTTTACATATTGACAAACAGACAACGGAATAAGTAGATGTAAATTCTAAAAGAAAGACGTTCGACAACAGAGAGCGA